CAGTTAAGAACGACATTACCATTACAATCAACCACGTCGCAGGTTGGGAATCCCCAACGAGGGGGAGAGGCCGTATTTGCTCGCTGGAGGAAGGGAGGGAACCATGTGCCTTTGAGAAAAATGTTCTTTCTGTTGAATTTACTTGGTTTTTGCCGTTTCCAGTGCACCACCTCAGGCGTGAGGACAGTCCGTTCAGTAAAAAAAACCAAGAAAAAATTTTAAAAAAGTGGCGGGAAGTTGATAAAGCGTAAGGAGATGGCAGGTGGGATAGGGAAGACGAGGGGTCGTACCAGAGAAGGAACATGTGTGGGAAGAGGTCGTACTTTGCGAAATAAAACCCCAACGATAGGGCGAGGTTCTCAACTGCGACTGCATTCTTACCTTTGCAGGCTTTTGTGGCAGCAGCTCGCGCAGAGGACGATTGCGACGAAGAAACTTTCTGTTAGACCTGAAAGTAAAGAGTGAAATTTATTATACATCATTATGACAGCTCAGATCGTTGACAGTATCTATAAAAAAAACATGGTCAAATCCTCACCTGTTCTGATTCATCAAGTCAATATATTGGTTTCGCCCGATACCCAGTAACCTCACCGCGTCTGCTGCCGTAAAATTTGGTAAAGAATCATATGACTTCTCGGATTGTAACATATCCTTTAAATAGACAATTTTCCATAAATCGGAGATTTCGAGGCATAGAACTTACAGTAATAATGTTAATATAGTAGTTGAACGGCGTTATTCGCAGCTCTCTTACAATTATATCAGCAAGATGGTAAGGGTAGAGCATTAGATGTGATTCGCTGTACTTGATAATCATATCGTAATACGTTTCTTCACTTCTTTTCACATGTCGCACTGAAATGAAACAAATTCAATGGTAAAAGCGCGGGGTACGTGTGTAAGAGAACCGTAATTCGCCGCACTGATGGGCGTCGCATGCCACGTCGCGCCGGGAATGACGATGGTTCCAGGGGCCGTACGCTATACTTCCCCTCGAAGGGAGATATTCCCTTGTAAAGCTCCACTCTCTGCCGTTAACCCTACTGGTGCCACTCACCTCTCTGGCTTTTGCCGCTCTGCATCTACAGGGGGGGGGGGGCAAAAAAGTCACTTCGACCGAGTCACATATCAGCAAAGTTTTCGCTGCCCAGACAGAAGGACGTGGATACGAGTACCAGGGCGGAAGATACCCAAGATGTTCCTCGGAGCTGGCTCTCGCCCATCACCTTCATGTACACCAAAATATGAAGTCATCTCCAGTCGCAGCCTGACTGGAGAAGACCTTTGGAATTCATGTCACCTCCAAACACTTCTAGTATGGAGTCACCCATGGATAGCTACCTGGAGACCAGTACTCTCGATCTGGAAGACCTCCAACATCGAGCAGCTCCGACAACGTCGCCACGGTCTAGGACATCATCTTCACCACAGTCGCCAAGGCGCGGGTTGATGGTATGGACCGGACCTGGAATGGAAAGACCAATATTTTCTTCGTGGCCCCGGACTGAAGGTGAGCGCTGGCGGTTACATCGAGCAACTCGTGAAGAATATCCTCCTCACATGTCGTCGCCCGTACCTTCTTGGAAACTTTGTACTGCTACAGCATTGGGTGCCACCATGGAATCGAAGGGCGTTGGAGAAACTCTCGCCTACTTGGAATGGAAGGGGGCTGAGTACCTAAAGAAGATGGAATATCCAAGTAGGTCACCTGACCTGAATCCCCTCAATTACCCGGTTCGGGCGGAGTTCAATAGGGTGGTCTACGGTGGCGGAGAAATCGACTATCTCGCTGATCTCAGGCACCACATCGCGGTCGCGTGCCAGAATCTCTCGATGGCGCTCGTCCAGAAGGCTGTGGCGGAGTGTCATGATAGTATTTAATATGCTGAGTCGATATGATTCGGACAAATTGACAAATTTTTTCTTTATCGTACAACTTTTTAACGACAACTGGGGTTCACTTGAAATATGCTCCATCTTATGCGATACCTTCTGCAACCGGATGGGCAGATCTGTGATGCCGCTTTACTCCAGAAGGCCGGGTTGCCCGGCCTTTTTTGGGGTCTTCGAAGAAGTTCTCGAGTGCCTTCTTGACGTCGTCGCGAGTTTTGAAGTCTTGGCCGTCCAGGTGGCGTTGGAGGTGGGAGAAAAGGTGGAAATCCGAAGGGGCCAGGTCTGGAGAGTACGGTGGGTGTGGAAGCACGGTCCAACTGTACGACAGCAGCTCGGCCTTGGTCGATCTTGCAATGTGCGGTCTCGCGTTGTCGTGCTGGAAGTAGACATGGGACCGCCGCCGTTGCGAATTTTGGACATTTGCCTTCAATTCTCGTAATTGACGAATGTAGACGTCGGCGGTACAACTTGGTTGCAACCTTTATCGAGCAGGCTCCCAGTACTCTAGCGCCGTGTACGCGCCGTATACAGAGAGCATCACCTTTTTCGGGTGTGGACTGGGTTTGGGGACGTCGTTTGCGTCGGCATCTTTGTCGACCCATTGTGCACGGCGGTGAGAGTTAGAGTAGAGGACCCACTTTTCATCGCCAGTGATTATTTCGTCGAGCCAATGGTGGTGGCGCTTGAAGGTGAGCAACGAAAGTGCGACCTCGCACCGCCGATCCATGTTCCCGCTGGCGTGCAGTACCGGGCATGGGTACCCATGCGACAGCGAGTTTCAGCACCTTGCTGACTTCAAGCCGCGAACGACAGTAGTCTGACTCACCCCAAGAGCGGTCGCCATATCTCGAGTGGTTTGATACGGATCGGCTTCCACCTGTTTCCGCAGCGAGTCCAAATCCAGCTCCCTCGGGCGTCTCGCATGGTCTTCGTCTTCGATGGAATAGTTGCCCGACGCACACTTCGAATGCCACAAGTAGACTGTACTTCTAGCGGGGCATGCTCCTTGTAGACTTCCTTTAGGCGTCTGTCGATATCCGCGGGTTCTTGGCCAGATAGCGTTAGAAAGAGTATGACGTTGCGGAGGTGGTCTCTGGACGGCTTTGTAAAATCGTGCGGGACAATGGTGGCGGAATGATACTAGTTTAGAAGTGTTTAATTGCATTTTGAAGAGCCTTTTTTGTAGCTCTTTCGCCAGGCGGCTACCCACCGCGCGTCGCGCCATTTTCGTTCACTCTTTGCTGAGTTATGATCTCTAGAAATCATCACTACCATTTGTCCATATCGACTCAACCTAATAATATGCTCTTTAATATGGTGTGGTAAAAATGTCCCGATTAGAATGGCAATATAAGTGTAACTTATAGGCGTCTCGAAAGTCATGGAGAAAAGAAACTTTTTTGTGCTGCCGCCCCGCCTTCACCTGGATACTCTTTCTGGCGCACGCTCTGTGCGAATATAGTGCAGCGCAGAGTATAATCAATATTCTCCCCTCTCCCCAACACATGCCGTTGGGGAAAATTCCGGGTGACTGGGGGAGCAGAGATGCAGAGAGACAGATGCAGAGATACGAGAGGCATCGATGAGATAACGGCTGTGAGCAGAGGTTTGCTGGGAAATGTATAGCATACGGCCCCAGGTCGTAGATGGCGACAACAGGCAATGTAGAACCAAAAATAGTCATAAATGTCTACAGTTTCGTAGCCCACGTGAAATCCGGTGCTCCAGTCGACAGGCTAACACGAATTAAGAAAACGCCGCGCGCGACAGAGCAGCAAATTACGGATCTCTTGCCCGTCTCCCAAAAGCGCGTACACACGTAGCGGTCCGATGATTCCAGCGATCGGATCGCACTGTATGAACACGCTCGGGTAAGACTTCCAGAAAAAAGGCCAGCTGGGTGAAAACGCAAAAAGAAAATCAATAACATACCGAGGTTCCCCTTGTACCGCAACTGGTTTTTAATCGAATATTCCAATACGAGCTTGTCATACTCCCGTTGTGAGTTTCCAAGCAAAACTCGTATATCCTCCGGCAGCTTCTGCCATACTATGTTCTCTCGTATACACGTGTCCACATCCATAGATACGACGTCAGACGAATACGCCGTCAGTTCTTCTTTTGTGGCACACACTACACTACACCTGAAAAGTACTGGGCCAATCGTCTTAGTAGGGCAAGTCAGTTAGAGAACGTTCGTACTTCACTCGACAGTGTTTCAATCGACTAGCAAAGTATATGTATCGATTTAGCGTACGGCAGCGTTTTGAGCATACGCCACTGTAAGCCAGCATTACCAGCGATTCAGCGGTCTGAGCGCATTTCAGCGTTTTCAACGCTCCAGGCGCTCAAAGCCCTAGATCGATACCCTTAACATTCTTAGTCGCTCAAAAGGCTCAAAGCTGGCGCGAAGTATGGACGCACCCTTAGGCGGAGGAGCCGTTAAGCGGGCAAGTCATGCAAAATAATGACCATCGCAATGTGAAACCGGGTTTGGCACAAAGAAAATCGCTCATTATACCCAGTGCTCTTCCCTCCCAGACACTGGCATAAATCCTTATCACAACTACAGTAATATCAACACTAGGACCCCGGCATTATTTAACTCATACAGAGACGCCCGACAACCTGGCTTCATGATCAGGCATTA